CACACACACACACACACACACACACACACACACACACACACACACACACACACACACACACACACACACGCACGCACGCACGCACGCACGCACGCACGCGCACACACACACACACACACACACACACACACACACACACACACACCTTCGCGTAACGTTTAATTTAAATTCGATCTGCAAATCTGCTCTTTCCAACCTCATTGCGTTAAATTCGAACGAGGGAAGTTGGACGAGGTTTTTTTTTTTCAATTCACTTGAATCGACGTGCCGTATCATCAAGTCAAAGTCATATCGCTTAATTCCTTAATTATATTTCGTACAATTGAACACCGGTAGTAATTTTCTTTTCGAAATTTGAAACAATTAGCTGGAAGTTGGATCGCTTCGATTCACGCTCCGATCCAGATTTTATTCGTTCGCGATACAAGATCGCGGAGAATGGAGATAAGAAGTTTGAAAAGTGTTCCTCTTACGTACGTTAAAAAGCATTTAAAACGATCGTATCGTTTTTTCTGTTTGGTTTGGAAAAATGTCATCTCTGCGAACGAAAGGGGAATATATCCGTTGTGATATATCCCTTGAATTTAATATAGTAATTATCGTGATATTAATCGAACGCATTTCAATATCCCCGAATCTGACCATTGGCAAAATGATTTCACGCTGATTTCAAAATACAATACGTTATCCGAAATTATCATATAATAAAATAATTTAATCATACGTGTCTTTACGAAGATTATTATTAATATAATCCTATTAAACAAATCGATGTCCATATCGTGTGTATATATAATATAAACGAACGTTTCAATAAAGATTTATTATCGAAAACCTAATACACGGTGTATATGAAATAATTCGTGGTAAAATATATATATAGTCTTTTGTATTAATAAACAAATATAAAGTTGGCGAGAATTATTATAATTTTAATTGTTCGCGAAATGTTTCGTTGCAACAAAAAATCAATTCTTACGTCGTTTTGCAAAATTTATTATTATATTTATATCGTGTAATTTTATTTTATTTTATTTTATTTTTTGAATTAATCGTTTCGCATTTTGCTCCTGTAATTATGCATGTTGGTTAAATTTCGTATGTGAAAATGAACGACGAATAAATATTGCTAGTGTTAACGTGGAGAAGGATGGAAATATCGAAATGAATATATATTCCATTTGAAGATATGGAATTAAATTGTTACGATGTTTCATCATCGAGCCGCAACGTTTACTTTCACGTTCAAATTTTTATATCGATACATTTTCGCGATACGTTCTTCCATTATCCGCAAGAATAAATATATAGTTTTTAAATAAATAAATCGTTACAATTACTCTTCTTCCTGCTCACTTTGGCGAATAATAAGAAAGATTTTATCCGATGAATTATACATTTTTTATCAACCCAACGACATTATATTTAAATATAATAAAACTCTATCAGTGGGAATGCGAACATGATTGTTTTTAAAAAATCAACCAGTAAAGATAAAATTCCAAAATTTTGCATCCATAAATAACTAAAAAGATTGAACTCGCAAATATATATATATATCAATTAGTATGAACGTTGCGTATGGTAGACTTCGAAACAGCACATTTTTTTTACACTGCTTTATATCAGGCGAAGAATTATTTTTTTTGGTGACATACAAGGAAAAATATATTTCGAGCATGATGGCGTCTGCTTCGTTTTAAAGTACATTTAAGAGCCATCTATCGGCTAGAAATTGAACTTCATGCGAGTATAGCTCGTCATTTAAGTTGAGTTAACTCTTCGAAACACACAAAAATCGTTCGATCTCTCCTCTTCCATCTTTCCACCGACGTGTGTGCGCGAATTTCTCTTTCTCTTCAACTAATTTCTATCCAAACGCGTTGAAATTTCCACACGCACGCGGGAATTAAGAAGAATCCCTTTTCTTTCATTTCTTCTTCCTTCTTTTTTCTTTTCTCGTTTTTCCAAGAGAAGAACTCTCGCGAGAATTTTTTAATTAAAAATTTGAGAATAATCGTGCGAGCATTGCGTAAATGTTATCGCCGATATAATATCATAATATCGTTTAATAATTTAATCCTAAATAATCCATCGATATGATATAAATGGCCATTATTATTATTATTATTATTATTGTTGTTATTATTATTATTCATAATACGTTTAGGATCGATTTAATCGTATTTAAATCGCGAGAGAAATCGAACAATGGGACAGGAATTGTTTTTCGAATATTTGGAAATACACCATTTTATAAATTCGAGACAGTTTTTGGGCGCACGTTCGTCGACGCGGCCAAGTAGTATAACCTTACGTGTAGTCGGGCAGGTTACGAATATTTCCTTTCAACGAATATTATCGAAATATATATATATATTATTTTTCGTCGAAAAAACAATATTTCTATCTAAACAAGGATGTTGTACAAGAGGAGGAATTTTAATCGAAACGAAACATCAAAAATTCCCATCTGCCTGTTACAATTTTAGAAACGCGACAATAATCCGTAATAGAATAAACTTGTCCTTGTCCATTCAAAGAAGAAGAGGAGAAGAAAATGCCTCTTTCCCTCGGAAGCTTTTTTTGCAAAAAAGAAAACGTCCACTCGATCGAGTAATAAAAAAACTCATTTCGGGATATTATTATCCCGAAACCGAAAGCGGAAAGCGAAATGGCGTCCCCAAACGTGGATCGATCGATCGAATAATCGAAAAAAGAAAAGGAAAATTGGAAGGGGGGAGTTGAAAGGACAGATATTCCGCCATCGATACAGGTCCTCGAAAGAGGTGTTGAACGACGTCAATTTCCAAATTAGACATGGTGGAAATGGCAGGCGCGGAGGGGAGGACGTTTCGAGAGATCGATTCGATTCGATCGATCCGTTTAACCTCTCCGGTTATAGGCGACTTCTCTACTCAACGAGTCGCCGCCGCACCAAAAATGTGCACTCCAGAAAAATCCTCGGCAGCCGCGTTTATGTCTCGATGTTTATTCAAAAAAAAATTTATGATAAAAAAAAAAATATT